CTTTTGTTTTCCCCAGTGAGCCCTGGGAATATCTCCATGAAGGACGCGAGGTCCCCAAAGACAATGGTAGAGAACTGTGCAGGGGCTCAGCTTCCTTTCACATCACTGTGACCTCAGCCCAGAATCAGAATCAGGGGCAGCTCTGTGAGCTGTAGGCCTGCACCCTGGGGAGGGAGTAGAGGCTGCCCAGGCCTTCCTGGCCTCTGCCCAACCCCCCATCTCCCATCGAGAGCCATCCTTGTCTCCCTGGTCAATTTTAACTTAACTGCAATCATATCAGTTTGTAGCATGGACCTTTTTAGGCATTAGTGACTGGAATTCTTTTGGTCTATTACTTCACATTTTCCAAATCCACTTCACACAGATGGAATCTTTTGTAATCTTCTAAGGCCAAACACAGGAGGGAAACAGCGCCAGAGAATTTGGGCCTAGCACTTGGTTTAGTGAGGATGGAATGGTCTGATTCCTTCTAACATCTTGATAAATCTTTCTGCACCAACTTGAGAGTTTCAACACAGAGGAATACTTAGACCTTGCTCATTTGCACAGCTAGGCTCTATGTCCATGTGTCAGCACCTTTGCTGGGCTGTTCCACCTGCAGTCGCCACTGCAGTCCGCTGAGCTGCTTTCAGCACCCTCACTGTCATCAGAGATGGAACTGATGCCCGGGAAACTAGTGACAGGGGGAGATCCAATGACACTTTGGCCTTTATTCCCCTGATTGCATCAAAGCATCCCCCAAACTTAATGTTCCATGCTGCTGAGGTCTTAATTGTAATGTTACCTGTCTTCTGGGCTCAAGTCTTCTTAGGGAATTGGCAAGTCCGCAGACCCTGTTGAATCAGGGTCTTTGAAATGTTCAGACCAAATAAGTACAGGACAAGTGGACAAAGTACCTGCTTTAACCCTATCTACGTGATGTCAACAAAATGAAAAAGAAGTAATTTTGTTAATAATTCAAGTGGCAGGACTGTCGGTTCAGAAAAGGAGTACGGTATTAGTGGTTGGAGCTGAAGCTGAATGCTTCTTTGGCTTTTTCACAGCAGTGTCCCTCCCGAAGGGAAGACAGCCTTTACCAAGTGCCTACCTTTGCCAAGCTTTCTCAGATGGCAGCTGCATAATACTATTTGGGGGCTGGAGTATGGATAGCCAAGATCTGACCCAGGTCTATCTAACTGTAGGTACACATTGCTCCTTCTCCAGGTGTCTTTCTGAGTTGTCATGGTGTAGAAACGTGTCTATAGACTCTTTTTTTTTTTTATTTTAAAGAATAAAAGAAGGATAACATAATAATAGGGGGGACTTAGCAAATTACAGACAAAATGGTAGGAAATTATCAATGGTTATTGTTTTACATATTATTATCTACAAAATAGTTTCTCAGGAAAAC